ATACCCCAAATCGGAGCAGTCTACTCAGATGGCTTCTGATCGGCTTTCAGCTGACCTCGTGCTAACTACGAAATACAAGGATAATATTATTGTAATGTATTTAAGATCACAGTATATTGTTATATGTTATGCTATTTTGTTATACTTAACGTTAAATAATACATTAAAAATATACATTGTATAATATTATTATACATAACACAACGATTGGAGATTCCCCCCAAAATAGGCCCAGATTCCGCCTAAAATTTGTTACAGGGTATATTACTACTTGTGTATCGTACAAATTACAACATATGTATCTCACGAGAACCGAATGATTTTGTTGCGGAATATCGTGCAAACCTCATAATTTGGGACAGAGTTAACTGTCTATTTGATAGATCAATGGTAGGAAATCCCCCAAAGTGTCCCTGTGCCATGCAAGACATTTCCTTTGAGATGTAAATCAGTTCTCTTCTTAAATCGGTTAATACGCAATTGGCAGACACACAGATGCACGCACAGAGACAGATATTGTCGTTTTATTAGTGGATTTATAGATCAGGTGTGTGACAAAACAAGTTACATAATTCATATGCAAACACAGAGAGATAGAAACTGAACAGTGCAATATGGTATGGGCTGCAGCCTCACAGCTCAGCTAGCATAATCACTCAGGCATAATCATTCCGGGGTGTGTGGGGTTTGGTTGGGGTATAAAATATCGGCATAACATACACGAGGACCACAGCATCATCGCACCCACCACCAAACTGAAATCGAGAGAAGTCCGAACACCAGGGCACAGTCTCCCCGCCGACTCAGGGCACAAATCCTGCCTCAGGCACAAACTATCCCTCAGTGCAGAGCCCATCGCAGCGAGGCACAAGCCGTAGCCACTAAAGTACAGCACCACAAAGGTACAAACTATCTCAACCCACACCCCAGGCACAGCGCACCACAGGGCAAAGCCCCTCCCGCATGCAATCGCTTGGGGATGGGCAGTGTCCAGGAGGGTCTGTGCCTCAGAACAGCACCACCACAGGCACGGCTATTTACCTATTGCCCAGCCACATCGTCCACAGGGCACAGCACCCAGGCACATCCTTACCCAGGAACACACAACCCCAGGCACAGACCCCGCAACAGGCCAAAGAATCACGCAAGTGCACAGCCCAAATAAATTGCACAGCGCCTCCTCAGGGCAAAGAACCTCCTCGATTTAAATCATTCCAAGGCGCAGCTTATTCAGCCAGTGCTCAGGCAACACGCCGAGCAACCCGGCGGCACATCCTCTAACCCCAGGACACATCAATGGAATGCACCGCACCAAGCAAAGCCTCCCCCAGACACATCATACCGAGTGATCAAACCCCACAGCCCACAGTGTACCTTCAACCAGGCCCAGCTCCACCAAGGCACAGCCGATCGACAGGTACAGCATCTCCCAGGGGCACAGACACTCCAGGGCACTACCGGACGCTCCGCACCCACCCGTTCCGGTTACAGCCACTTTCCCTTGCACACGCCCTTGAGGCACAGCCGCTTCCGCGAGGGCAAGCCATTAACACAGTGAACATTCTTCGCCCCAGTGCACGGCTTCTCTCCCAGGTCACAGCCGACGACCAAAGCAATGAAACACTCAAGGCAGAGCTGCATTAATTAGTAATGTTCGGGCATCCTGGAATCCTTCGTGGAATATTGGTGGAGTCCTGTAGCTCATGATTAGAGCACTTGCTTTGCAAGCGAGAGACCTGAGTTCAATTCCAGGCAGGGCGAAACCTTGGGCAAGTTTCCCTACTCCACACAGAGCCTAATAATAATTCCTCCAAACACTAAAAACAATAACTAAATTGGTAAATTTCAATCTACGACTGTTTGTGAGACATTGCTGTGTGCAATTGGCTGCCGCGTTCGCCCACAAATATGCAGTGAATTCACTTTACAGCGTGTTCTGTGAAGCGCTTTGGGACGTCCTCCAGACGTGAAAAGCGCTATATCAAATGCAAGGATTATTATTATTATTATTATCCTTGTGGCCTCTCCAAACAAGCCCACCAAGTGACCCGCTGCGTTTCCCCCGGATTGTGTGATGGCTTCTACTCCTCATTCCCAGATGGAAGTGAAGAGAAGCCCAGTCTCAATCTCAGCCACTAATGTTACCTCAGCAGCTTCGGGCTGTGACATTGTGTTACTAACCTGCATATTCCAACATCTTTCTCTCCAGAAATATCACTGCAGAAGGAAAAAAATAGATCAAATCAGGAGTTATCAATGCAATAATTCTCACAATCATGTATCTGATCTTCCCAGTTTCACACATCGTAAACGGTCGGTCCTCATCTACAGGGCAGCAATTTAATGCCATCGCCGAAAAAGCTTCCAATGGGGAAGAACGACCAATATAGATACGACAGGGAGGTAAAGAATGCATGGAATGGGGTGAGAATAGAGAGCTCGAGTGGGTGAGCGAGCACCAGCACAAATACGATGGGATGCGGAGTCAATCGGACTGAACCAAGAATTCTGTCATTGACTAAGAAACACAGCATTTGGCTGAACGTCAGTTCCTGTGCAAAAATCGGTTGTGTTTCAGTTTCGAGCCGTGGAGAAGATGGCTTTTGGTGACAGTACGGAAACAGAGGAATTCATCTCAAATCCCGTTAATAGTTAGAGCACACTGTGTTTCCCCTTCGGTAAGGAGTTTGCTCACCCTTTGCTTTTTTTCCTGGTTTCTCCTATGACGTTCCCCATCAACAACAATGTGCATTTGGACAATTTGCATTTATGTAGGCATACAGCTTCATGCGAGGAGGCGACGAAGAGAAATTTATTGTTGCAAAGACCTCGATACCCATTCAAACTTCTCTGTACCGGTGGCAACATCAGGAATTTCTCATTCCCTCCCTCCTTCTCTCCCTCCGTCCCTTATTCCCTATCTCACTGAATCGTCACTGCCTCTCCGCCTCCCTTTACTCTAACCCTCCCACTCCGTCTCCCCTCCCCAAACTCTGCCACTTTCCCTCCCTTTCCGACTCCCTGCACCTCTCTCTCTCTCTCTCCCTCTCATGTTGCCCTCCCTCTCTTCCTCCTGCTCCCTTTCCTGCTAGCCCTCATTCCACCACTCCATAATTTTCTTCCTCCACCTCACTCTGACCACAACCTTTCCCTCTCATATGCTTTCCACCTCTCGCTCCCTTCGCTCCACCCAATCGCCCTAAGACTCCATCTACCCCTCTCACTCACCCACACTTTACCCACTCTGCCACTCATCCTCTCCACCTTCGCTCTTCCCGCTGTGTTTCACCTCGCTCTTTCGCTCCCGCACTCCCTCCTCTCTCAATTCCCCCGTTAATCATCTCACTCCCATCTGCCCTTACTCACACTGTTCTACACTCTCCCTCTTCTCTATGTGCTCTCACTCTCGCCTCTATCCTTCCCTGGTCCCTCCTCTTCTATCGCTCGCCTCTCTACCCTTGCTTCCCTTTCAACCCTCTTTCTTCATTCCACTGCTCAATCAACAAAAAAGCAATACATATGTATGTAGCATTGCATGTCGGATGTACTTAACTATTCGCTGCATAGACAGATCTTGGGATCAGTATCAAGGAGACTGGAGTGCAGTGGAAGGAGGGAAATCGAAATCTCGATTAAAGTGGAGGTTTCGAAAAGGGTCTTGAAGGAGGTAAGCAAGCACGAGGCGGGGGTTGGTTGTGGTGGGTGCTGCTGTAGGATGGAATTCCAAAGGGTGGCGGTAAAGCGGCTGAAGGCCTAAATGCCAAAGGTCGATGGTGGTGGAGCAGGCCGTAGCTCGCTGAGCGAAAGGAGCGGACAGGCTTGTAGAAGCTCAGAAGTTTGCAGATGTACGGGTCAGCGACGTTATGGAGGATTTTGAAGGTGAAGGCAACACAATAACAAACAAAGCAACAAAAGCTTGGATTTATATAGAGCCCTACACACCCAATGGCGTCTCAGAACGCTTTACAGTAACGGATTCCGGGTCGCGCCAGGGGGAGGGGAGGGAATGTGTCCAAAGGCGCGATCGAAAAAAAAGGTCTTCAGCAGAGACCTGAGAAATGTAAGGGAGTGAGCGAGCCGAAGGGAGTGAGGAAGGCAGTTCCGGAGCCTCGGCGCATAGTGGCTCAAGGCACTGCCACCGAGAGTGAAGAGGACTCGGGGGACGAGGAAGAGGTCAGACCCGGAACAACGACGGCAACGATTACTGTTTTGAAGAGAGAGGAGGTCAGAGAGGTCGTGGAGTGCAGAGGAGTGCAGGGACTTTAAAACAAGGGTGAGGATCTTCAACTCGATCCTCTCTGGGATAGGGAGCCAATGCTGTCTGGCCAGGACTGGGGTGATCGGGGAGCGGAGTTTGGTTCGGTTGAGAATGCGGGCGGCAGAGTTTTGAATGATATGGATTTTATGGATAGTAGTGGATGGGAGACCGCCGGGGAGGGCGTCAGAGTAGTCCAGCCGAGTGTTGACAAAGGCATGGAATAGGGTTTCAGCGGCTTTAGGGTAGAGATATTGGTGGAAGACCGGAAGACCAGTATCTTGAACTGTATCCAATGGAGTTGGTGAGGATGGGGTGATAGGGTCACGGAGCTTGATGTAGGAGAGGACACGAACTGCAGAGATCAGGAGGATCTGCAGCCTTTGGATGGAGGA